CTTTGTTGCAAGGTCGTTTGCCGGTTAACAGTCCAGCTCTCCAATAAGGACACCTTCTAATAATTTTACCCTACTTGATGAAACGTATGCATGACCAGTAGCAAAGAGCACTATTCCGTCATCTTGGATGATCCGCCATATTGGATTGAAAATGATGTCACATAGTTCTTCGAGTTGCTCTCAACGAGCCCTTTCATTGGTTACCCATATCGTAGAAGTAGTTTGAAAATAACTATTCCGTCATCTTGGAGGGTCCGCCTTATTGGATTCAGAATGACGACACATTATTGTTCGAGTTACTCCAAACGAGCCCTTTCGTTTGATAACCATATTGTAGAAGTGCATTCAAAAAATACGGATCCGCCATCTGGGATGATCTGCTTTATCTGATGGATTCAGATTGAATTGACATTATTTCTCGAGTTGCTCTCAACGAGCTCTTTCATTTGATTCCCATTTTGTAGAAGTGTATTGGAAATAACTATTTCGCCATCTTAGATGATACGCCATATTGCATTTACAATGACGCCACATTCTTCTCCGAGTTGCTCTCAACGATCCCTTACATTTAATACCCATATTGTAGAATTGCATTAATCATAACTTTTTCGTCATCTTGGATAGTCTGCCATTTTGGATTTGGAATTATATGTCACATTATTTTTCGAGTTGCTTTCAACGAGCTCTTCCGTTCGATACCCACATTGTAGAAAAGCATTGAAAATAACTGTTTCGGCATCTTGGATGGTCCGCCGTATTGGATTTAAAATAACGCCACACACCTAATCTTGCATTGTCCTTCAAGCTAAACGTGTACACAAAATTTCAGCTCGAACAAATGGAAATACTTATATTGCAAGTTGAATTAAAGATATAATAGGTTTCATCTTCGACTTTTTGAATACTTTCACAGCGAATTTATAACTATTATTGGTGAATCATCAGAAGTAGTCCATACTCGAAGTGGAGGAATGAATGTGGCGAAATGTGCAGCTAATTCTGCTTCATTACTTCTGATTGAGACATGTTTCGACCATTCGACTGGTCATCATCAGTCATAGTACTAATAAAGTTGATCTACAAAGGATAATTTTTCTTACTCAACATCTAGCAGAAATGCTGACACTAATGTGTGGGAAATGACAATGGGTCGAACAATGCAGAAACTGATAATGTGAAGATGTGTGAAGTGAAAGAATAAAAAAATCAATTCGCAAGTTGAATGAAAGATTTGATAGGTTCCATCTTCAAATTTCTAAATACTTCCACAGCGAATTTATAACAATTATAATGAATCATCAGAAGTAGTCCATACTCGAAGTAGAGGATTATGATATATCAACGTGAAAAACTTCAAAGTTGGCTCCACAAGTTCACTGGCGATATGTGCAGTTGACTCTGCTTTATTATTTTCGATCGAGACATATTTCGACCATTCGAATGGTCATCATCAGTCATAATGTAAAATGGGGTGAATAGGGAAAATTTTCAACTTTGAGCAGCTGTAACTTTGTTTTGGTAAGACATAGAAAAATGATTATTATGTTCAAATTTGTGTCCCGACTTATAGTTTCGATTGTACATATCGATTTTTGATAGTATGGTCGATTTAATCTGGGCAAACTTCAGTAGTCAAGAGCTTATTTCAAACTTCTTCATAAACAAAAACCTAATTTCTGACCATTTGGCTTGTGTATTGACCTTAGAAATCAACTTTCAGCAGACTAAAGCTATTCCATCCTCAAAAAGCTATACCAAGACTATAGTAAGATGGGATCCTTCGAAATCAAACTCATATAGAAATATAATTACTAATTATGGCCTCAATTCTCAATTAGATCCAACAGAAGATTTAGATACTCAATTACATGAAGCAACACAACAGATTTCTCCGTACTCACCAAACTGTACCAATTCCTAAGCGGAGCGATTAAAATTAGAGCATTCATAGTTAATGAATAGGATCAATATTGATGCGAAACTGGATGTGATCATCCAACCGTTGTTGATGGGTGTTCCTTATTTTGTCACCAATCAGGCAGGTAGATACTTATTATGACTTGATTTCCATCTATTTCATTTCATCTTATTCTTCTGTCTCTCTATATTGTACTTAATAATATGACCACTCATTCCCATGCCACCGCCCTTGTTCATGTATTGTATATATGAATGAACAATGAATATATTATTATTATTATTATTATTATTATCGATTTTTGATTTTGGTGGAAATTTGAATTGTTATATATTTTTATATGCCCTGACCCGATTCAACATAGGGGTGGGGTCAATCGAATCAGTGACTTGAAACTCATCAAAAATTTCTTCAACTGACCTGAGGTTGAAAAGGGTCATGTAATATGATTTTTTTTTCATCAAAATGCACCAGGACAAGGAAATAAGTTCAATTTCTACATTCAACAGATGGGGTCAATCGAATCAGAATCAGTAACTTGAAACTCATCAAAAATTTTTCAACTGACTTGAGGTTGAAAAGGGTCATGTTATATGATTTTTTTTATTATTAAAATGCACCAGGACAAGAAAATAAGTTTAATTTCTACAAATAACAGATCATACAAAAATAACTTGAATTAGGAATTTTTTTGAGGAATGATCTGTAGCACACTATAGGATATTTCGTAATGCTTCGAAGCCTCCCGAATAGACATTCTTCCTTCCTTCACAGCAGCCAGCGCCTCATTCATAACATCCGAACCATATTTCTTATCAGGTTTAGCACGTGGGTCTGGTTTGTGAAGTCGCGGCATGTCGGCCCGATTCACCCCCACTTTTCTGGTCACCGTTTTTTTTTTTAAACTTATGGTCTCTAAGAAGAAGTAGTCCAGGTTTATCAATTCGCTCTTGACACAAGTTATAATAATGTTTAATGATGCGAAAACTGTATTTACCTTAATGAAATCGATGTTGGCTCACCCACTAGCTATAAAGTTATTGAGGGTACGTTTTTGTAGACTAAATTTCATTTGAGGTGAGGAACGTCAAAAACACACTGAACGGTGAGCAGATACTGGGAAACGCTATCCAACGCTCGACTGGACCTCCGTCATCAAAACACTGTTGCCAGATTGACATCATTGCTGTTCAGAAATATTTTATGATTTTTCATCTATTGCAGAAAAGTTTCGACCCTATTCACCACACCGGTTCTATTCACCCCATTTTACGGTAGTTCTAATGAAGTTGATCTACAAAGGATGATTTTTCTTACTCAACATCTAGCAGCAATTGTTACACTAATGAGTGGAAAAGGACAATAAGTAATACAATGCACAAACTGATGATGTGAAGTGAAACAATCGAAAAACCAATCCCAGGTAGAACACTAATATTGGTAAAATATTGAACCAATAAAGAGTGAATGTTGGAAAAATATTGATTTCAGATATTAGACCAATAAATCAATGAGAACATTGTGGAATCTTGGTGCTATGTTGAATTTAAATCTTGTTCTGATATGCTCTATCCAATATCGAGTTTATATTCGTATACAAGATTGGACAGAGATATTATGCCAACTTATAGAAACCGGTTTCTCATGATTGCCATAATATGTAAATTCGATATTGAATTTATATTTGCCTACTATATTGGCCAAAATTAGGATGTGATCATAATGCAATATTATCTTTATGTTGAATTATAATATTCTATCAATATTGTATTTTGTTTTCGTTACAAAATTTAAATTCGAAATTCGAACCTATATTAGCCTTATAAAACAAATTGTGATATTGGTACGATAATTCATTAGCGTAATGTGTCAGATCCATTTTCATTCTCTGTATCCCAGAATACCAAGTGAAACGGACGCTGCAGTATTTGATCCGTCTGAGCAGTCGTATGTTGGAGACGTGCTAGTGACACCACCTGTTATAACGTCGCCCAAATAAGGACCTAATCATTACTTATATCGATTTGATATTTAAAAACCGATATCGGTGCAATTTTGGTTCTGACATATTCCATTAGTTATATATGTCTGAAATGGGTCTTATATTGATGAACTAATATTGGCTTAAATACTGTCTGTAGGTTAATCGAGGAGGTGGTATATTCATTATTATTATTATTGGCTTGATGAAAAATTCAAATATGAAAATAATATTCGTAGCAAATATCATGCAATATTCAATAATCATCTCGAACATAATAAAGAAGGAATAATATTTTGATAATATTGATTCGACATTGAGATCAATTCAAAAATGGTATAGATGTGATATCATTTCCATTATACATCGAATTGATATTAAAAAGCCAATATCAGTTCAATATTGCTGGACAATGGAATGCAATATTCACTAACCATCATGAATCTGATATTGATGCAATATTTTTTTGCTAGATTGATTCGATATTGGAAATACAATATCAGCCCATCATGAAAATTGACATATTTCATTCTTTAATATTTTGCCAATATCAAATAAATATTTGCAAATTGATATCGGCTTGTCTTAAAATTTCAATGTTATTTCATTGACACTGGATTGATTTTTGGATATCAAAGAACTAATATCAGTGCGATATTGCTGGACAATAGAATGCAAATATTCACCAACCATCATGAATCGGATGTTGATGCAAAATGTTCTGGTTCTGATCATACTTAGTAGTCGAAAGTTATATCTCTGGAGTCGTAAATTTTTCTCCCACACTGTGATATATTCATCTTGTTAGTGCATATAATCTAATAGGAGAATTTGATCATAACTGCAGCATTGTAAGTGGAAAAAAAATCAGACTTCTCTTTTACTGCCCCATAAAAACCAGCCAATTGAAGAGACCAACAAAAAACAAACACCTGCTTATCAGCACTTTTTCTAATCACTGTACAAAATTGATGAGATCTTCGTTACAGGCCAGAGTGTTTATTTGATTTAAAAATAATGGCCTACTTCAAATGTTGCAGAACTAAGGAGTGTCAAAATGTCTGCTGTGTACAATGCTTTGGAATGTTTCATGTTAGTTGTATGGAAAGGAAAAAACTGCACGTTCCAATTGAAGGCTCAAAAATAGTGTGCTCAAAAGACTGTTTAAGAAAGAAGAATAATGAAGAGGATATGCTTAAGAAAATGGAGGAAGCAATTGACAACTACAAGAAAGACCTGGCTGAGAGGGACTCAAAACTGGAAATCCTAGAGTCGGAGGCTGAACAAAAAGTAAACTATTTACTGGAAGAACTGGAAAATAGAAGAAAAGAAGATGAAGCAAAAGCAAACTACATTAAAAGGTTGAAAAGAGCATCTATAGACTTCCAGGATGAGGTTATGACTACTGAAGAAAATTTATTGGAAAAAATCAGGGATTTGGAAAGTCATATAGCTAGGCTCCATACTGAAAAAACGCAGCTTGATCAAAGAATCTTAGAGCTACAAGAAGAACTACACGAAGCTATGACTCAGCTTACGAAACTCCAAGGAAATCTAAATGAAAATGATTTACTGAAGAATAACATGCTTACTTCAATCGAAACACTATCAATTGAAAATGAACTATATAGAGGAGAGCTGAAGAAACTGCATAATGCTAATTTTGAACTCGAGCAGGAATTCAAAGGAATTCAGCAAGAGAAAGGTCTCGAAAAAAAGCCATGTGCGAATAAAAATCTCCCGTCAGACCAAATACTCAGAAATCCGCCCCGATCACCCCCGAGAATACCTACTCAAGGTATTTATAAGAAACCATCTAATAAAAAAAAATGCTTTTGATTTCAAACAAGCAAGGAAGAGACTTAGTATTTCACTTGTGGAAACATTCGAACAATTATTCGATACAATCCTTATTGAAAAGTGGGGCAAATGACGAGGAACTGGTTCAAACAGCTATCATATCATCAACGAACTTCACACGAGATGATATAGTTATATTGTGGACAAACATGATCAATCAAAGGCTCTTGGAAAAATTTACAAAGAAATGTCAACATACGCGTGTAGTAATAATTTCCGAGCCATACAGATTCGATAGAATGGCAAGTAGGAACGAATTATTATATAAAAGTAACTTGATTTTCTTGAAATCACTCCACAGTCTGCAAATAAACACAGCTAAATTCATTGACTGCAATAATATATTTCGTAGAAATAACTATGCTCCTGATGGCTACAATCTGAAAAGAGTTGCTAAAATTCATCTTGCTAAAGCCTTGCTAAATTTGATAATAAACTGGGACAAGCAAAATAGGAACAGTGACCACAACATACAAATGACAGCACCCAACGACTCTACAAGCAGCACTACATTGCCGAACTACTCAGGATCGCAAAATGCTCAACGTGAAGACTCTCTAGTTAATGCTGTACAATCCAATAACCATTTTTTAGAGATAACTCCTCAGATAAGATACTCATCACCGTATTGTCTCTAAACATCCAGTCACTTAGAAACAAAATTGACGAGCTCTTCATATTATTGGAAAATCATAAATTCCCTGATTTTGTCACATTAACTGAGCACTGGCTGACAGAGGACGAGCCAGTCCATCTTCCCAAATACATATCAGTTGCAAGGTATAACAGGATTAGTTCAATACATGGCGGAACTATAATCTTCATGAACGACTCTTTAATGGACAGTCACAATTTTGTGCAATTGGACAAATTCGATAATATTTTTGAAGATAAACAGTTTGAATGTGCCATTATTTTCAGTCATAAGCTCAATTTGTATATTATAAGTATTTATAGGGCTCCGTCCACTGATGCAAACATATTCCTAAACAAACTTGAGTTGCTCTTATCAGAACTTCAATCTCATTCGAGTATATTAATAACTGGCGATTTAAATATCAACTTCACTGATCTAGAGTCTTTGCATACACATCATCTGATTAATCTACTTAGTTCATTCAATTTTAAAATGCATGTCCAGGAAGCTACGCGAGTATCACAATACACAGCAACCACAATTGATTACTACTGCAGTAATTCAGATGAAACTTCATGCTCGGTTGTCCCCTCAGGCCTGTCTGATCACGAAGCTATTCTTGGCTCCATACAGCTAGACATAGAAACTCCTAAATCTAGGGACAAATATGGACGACTATTTAGTAAAAAAAATTATAACAAATTCCAAGAGTATTGCATATATACTAGATGGGATGATATTTACTCCTCGATAGATCCCTTTTTTACATTTTATAATCTCCTTCTTGGAAATTTCAACACAGCTTTTCCAATTCAAAAGATAAAAGAGAAGAAAAAGAAACTCTGGTTAACAAAAGGAATAAAAACCTCGGCAAGAAACTTAAAATCACTCCACACAATTAGAAAATATACCAACGAACCATTCTTTCATACATACTATACTAGATATCGTAATTTATATCAAAAAGTATTGAAATCAGCAAAAGATATGTATTTTATGTCAAGAATAGATAAATCTTCCAACAAATCTAAAGAAAGCTGGAGAATAATGAACGACCTTAGAGGAAAACAAAAGATTGCATTTGAAATCCCTTTGAGACCCAATACTCTTAATGACTACTACTGTACTGAAGCCTCTAAATTAACTGAGCACTTGAGCCCAATAAATGACTTAGAATATTACATGTCAAATCTCTATGTCGAAGAAAACTTCTATTTTGTTCCTACTCATACAGCAGAATTGAAAGAGACCATCAGTGGTATAAAAAATAAAAAGGCGTCAGGGCTAGATAAACTCTCAATCAACATAATTGCATACCTACCAGATTCTGCTCTCGAAGTATTAGCTGATCTCATCAATCAATCATTTCAACAAGGTGCCTTTCCTGAATTTTTGAAAACTTCAATTATAATACCGCTACACAAAGGAGGAGATCCAGCTGATCCATCAAATGGGGAAGTTTCCTATATTGAGGTTTATATCTAACTGTGAAGTTTGTAAAAAATTAATATATACGTATTTTTTCTTTTTTTCGTAAGATGAAATTTCACTTCAGAAAAAAATTAATAAAAGAGGAACTTGGCTCCTCCACCATTCCTATGACGTATTTTCTGAAAATCCACATTCACACAGAGTTAAAATACGATCGCCTGTGTCAGTACGACGTTGCCGACATTATCATTATGTCTAGATTTTCGGAAATTGTTCTTTGAATGCATAATAACTATATCATAACAGCAATGGGATGTAATAGGTTCTTCAATCCTGCTTTGTCAAGTATTATGAATAATTCCCATAAATGTCTCATTTTCTGAATGAAGTTGATTACTAATAAAGATAAATTGAGATATTTTGCGATAGTATCTATAATTTTTCACTATCGTTATATTACAATATGTTATTCATAACTTGTCAGTCATTTTTTTGCTAATGAATTCGTTCCTCAATAAAACGGATCTATTTTCTAGGATTGTTGCAGATTATATCTTGCAACAGCGCATAATGGGTGCCGACTTCATTCTGTTCTGACCGATGGCAGTAAATTAGGAAGGATAGTATCATCGAATGTAGCCGATAGTGATTCATTGATTCAATGACATTTCCGTTTAGGATCGAGCTCTATTCGAGATATTTCAATGCATAAATAACAAAACCATATCTTGTCAGAATGAAGCCAAGTTATGTATGTTTTTGTTTAGCAATTTTACTTCTTCTTCTATTTTTTTCATTCGTTTTTTATTCGATACCTATTCGCTAGCTATATTCTTCACCATCAGCTATTTTCAGACTAGATTCAGAATGTACGTCACAGTTTGCCTCCCCGAAAATTAGAAATTGCTTTAATTTGAAAATGAAAACGACTTGGACTTCATCGTTCGCCATTCCGTACAGCGTGGACATAAAACTGAAGAGTTCCGAACTTATTTTATGAAAATTCATCTGAAGGAAACTTCCCCATTATCGACCAATATCTCTCATACCTACTTTGGCTAAAATGATAGAAAAATTGGTTCAGAAGAGAGTAGTGGAATTCTTACTTATGAATAATATCTTGAGTGAGAACCAGTTTGGATTTCAAAAGCACAAGAGCACCAATGATGCAATTTTTTCTTTTCTTACGAAGGTATATAATGAAATTAATGAAGGAGAGGCCGCCGCAGCAGTATTCTGTGACTTATCCAAGGCATTTGACTGTGTAAGTCACGGAATTCTGCTGAGCAAACTCGAATACTATGGGTTTAGAGGAATCAGCAAGCAGTGGTTCAATTCATACTTAGAAAATCGTACACAAATTGTGAAAACCAACCACCTCTCTCGAAAGGAGGCAACTCAATGCGGGGTGCCACAGGTTCCGTACTTGGCCCCACATTGTTTTTACTTTATATAAATGATCTCACAAAAATTAATATATCTGGAGAGTATACATTGTTTGCCGATGATACCACTATATTTTGGCATGACAAAGATGAGCATGCTTTACATCATAAGATACAAGTAGACATTGAACTGATTAAGACCTGGTGTGACGATAACTTGCTAGTCTTCAATGCCACTAAATCTAATCTATTAACGTTCCGCTGCGAGCTTTCTGCCTTGACCTTAGGCACAAATATCATTGATAATGTTTCCTCCACAAAATTTCTAGGATTCCACATTGATAATAAGTTGAAGTTTAGCGACCATGTCACGAAATTGTGCAAAAAATTATCAACCGGATGCTACGCAATTAGGATAATATCACGGGAATTGGACTTTACAACTGCTAAAACAGCTTATTTTGCTCTTATTGAATCTCACCTAACCTACGGCATTGCTTTCTGGGGAGTGTGCAACAAACAACTGTTACATATGGTGCAAGTTGTACAAAAAAGAGCCATTAGGGCTCTTTGTAAAGTAAAAACGCGTATTTCTTGCCGCGACCTTTTCAAAAATAATAGAATCCTCACTGTTACTTCAATTTTCATCTTAGAAACCACTTGCTTAATACACAAGAATCGTCACAAATATAATATAGTGTCGTCTAACCATAATACGCGATCATCGCACAAATTGAGATTACCTCTACCACTACCTAAAAACAATCTTGTTAAGGAATCTTTCATTTATAATGGACTGAAAATTTATAATTGCTTACCAATACATATACGAGAAATTCAATCATGTAGATTGTTTAAAATAAAATTAAAAGAATTGCTATCCACTCATCCTTTTTACAACGTGGAGGAATTTTTTAGTAGTGAACCCTTATGTTAGCATTAAAATACGCGTGCCTCTATATTCTAGGATTGTTCAATGTTTCTAATATTTTCAATATTTTTAATATTTTTAACATTCTTAATATTTTACTTTGTAATACCTATACAATGACTTTGTCGATAAGAACTATTTATTCTGACAATAAAGCATATTTGTTGATGATGATGATGATGATTTTCCAAGATTGATTCGATGCTGGAAATACAATATCATCCCATCATGAACATTGACATATTGTAATCGTTGATATTCCACCAATATCAAATATTGGCAAATTAATATCAGCTGGTCACAAAATTTTGATGATACCACAACATTGGCACTGGATTGATATCGAATATTTGAAATGAACAATTGGTTAGAAATTGAGACAATCTAGTATTTCCATATTCAATATTCGAATATTGGACTAATGTGAGACCAAGTTCTAGGCAATATGTTGTTCCACTTAGGATGAAATTGGATTATTATGACTATGGTTGAGTATGACATTCAAAAACCCCTCAATCAATTTGAAGCCCCCTCTCTCGTAATGAGTCTCCCTCACGCAAGTAATACAAATTATTATTGAATTCATTACACTGAT